GATAAAAATAGTAAAATCGAATTTTATATCATTATTTTATCATTTTCAAACTTATGTCACAATTAAGAATATTCATATATACTTCATAATATAACTTTGAAAATTTTCTACTATCAATAGAGGATTTTTTATTTGCATCCAACAAATATTAAATATAAGAAAATTGTCACGAAGCAATTCAATTAAACTAGCTAGTTTTAATTAATTTGATTAGAAACTATATTTTCCATAAAAAAAAAATTTTACTAAGAGCAGATACCACTTTAATTTCGTATCAAATGGAATAATTGATGTTCCCTAACAACTTTACGCAAAAACATATTTGAAAATTATTTGTGGATCTTAGCTTAAAAGGTTAGAGAACGTATAATATAACTATAAGATATGATTCTTTTTGTAGTACCTTTTGATAATCTTCTGATATTTGTTGTCCCTTAGCTAATATCTGAAATTTCATATTCATATGAATGAAGTATGTTGTGTTATTTAAAATAATAATAATAATAATAGGAGTTCAATGAGTTTTTCCTAGATGAAGTCCACTCGATTATTTTTAAACTTCAATCATGGTGCATCAACTTCATATATAAAATAATTGAAATTTGGACAAACTGAATGAAATTTAGCCATACGAGTGTCTGAAATTTGACTTTGTCGAGCCTTCATATATATGATGTTGTCCAAGGCAGATACACATGCAAATTTGTTTTAAAAAAGGGAAACAAATTAAATGGCGATATCAAAATCGAATATTCCTGCACTTCCCAAAATTTGCAGAGAAAGGCTAGTCAATATCATCATGTGGGTAATTAGTTGGAAAAATTGTATATATAATAACAAATTATTAATTCAAATTAAATGTTATAATCATAGTTTGATTTAATTGTATCCCATAGTAAACTGTTGCTATTTCGCCTCTCTCCTAGTGAATCTCGCTCGCCGTATACATTGTGTTTGTGTTTGTATAAAGCGAGAGAAAATTGCATATACAAATACAAATGCATATATTTTCGTCCTATACACTTATAATTATACAAATACGATCTTACTCTGTCTAGTTTTCTTTTGCCTTTCTCTCTTTCTCGCTTTATACAAATTCAAATTATACAATTGATCTTTTGTATATGTATACCGAAACAAATTATACAATTGCTTTCTTTTGTATATGTATAGTGAAATATACATATTTATGTTTGCTATAGAGCATAATTATGCAAACTATAGCTATAACATACAAATATGATTTTTATGTTTGCTATATGTGAAAGTTGCTCTGGCCAAGATTTAAAGGTCCATTATTATTAGAAAAATTTATATAAATTTCACTAGTTTAAGAGGTAATTATTTAGATACATTCTACTTTACAATATTACAAATCTTATCAAATTTTGATGTGTTCAGATATATGTATCGCAATATTCATGAAGTCAAAGTTAGGTGTAATTTATTTTAGATACATTGTATCTAAATGAATTCGTATATATCTGAAATACATAGCAAATCTCTCTCGCCTCCCTTCCATCTCGCTCATCACTCTCCTATATATCTGATATCCCAGATATATAAAAATCACACCAATTACATACAAATATATGTATCTAACATCAAAAATAATTTAAATATATCCCTCGTTATATTTTCATTCCAAATATACCTTTCTTGTTATATTTTGAATGTATATTTGAACCTTTTTCGAATTAAAAAAATTATACCTCTCGTTATATTTTCATTCTAATTATACCAATTGACTTTTTGACTTTAATCTCAATCGAATGTAGGGTCAGTTTCATAATTTTGAATAATTACAGGGTCGAGCTGTTAGTCACTCTTTACGCTACCACAAAAGAAGAGAAAGCCACTATGGGTCCCCCAATGTTTCAATTATGTCACTTTCACCCACTCTTTTTTGTTATTTTTGTTATCATCATCATATCCAATTCCTCTATATTATACATGCCAAGAACTTGTTAAAACATAAAAATCAAAGAATAGATACACTTCACTTTGAATTCATAAAAAAAATATGGCTAAAATGATAACTTTGTTTGTTGTTTGCTTAGTATTATTTGCTTCTATTAATGTTAGTGCCAATTTTATGGACACTTTTCTTGTTGTTGGCAAAGTTTATTGTGACACTTGTCGTTGTGGCTTTGAGACTTCTGCCTCCAAGTATCTTCCTGGTAATATTATCAAACCCTTTTACTTTCTAGTCATTATTTATATATTTTTATTGTTTTTAGAAGCGAATTCAAAATTTAAATGTTGTGAAATTTATTTGAATTCATTTTATCTTTTAATTGTGGATTCAGAGTTCATATTTATTTTTTGTTATAATTTTTATTCATAAATTTATATTTCGCATTGAAAATATGAAGTTTAGATCAGAGATAAAGATTCGGTAGAATATGTATTTAGGTTTTAGATGTGTTGGATTTTGAGATACGAGAATGAGTTTTGAGATATACTTAGGATAAAACAATAATTAATCTGGATATTGTGATACTCTACTTGAATAATTTTATTTTTTATCCTTACTAAGAATAAATGGCCTAAAGTAATTGTCATTTTAGAACATCAAGATATAATTTTTTTCTCATTTTTTTCCTTAGCAATAATTATTCTTAGAAGTAATAAACATTGACTAATTAACATAAAAAAACATAAATGAAGAGTATATACACATACTTCAATATTGTATTTGTGTAGTTTAATTTATTATTATTATTTATTGAAGAGAAATTAATATTCAAAATGATTAAAGATGGAGTAATAAATAAGAATATGACATTCAAAATACATAGTTATGTGAATTAAAATGGCTCGAGGGAAGTAAACTATTTATATCAATTTTTTTTTTTTTTAAATATCGTGGATTGTCCAAACTGAATAAGTAAAATTGAATATATTATAAGGTTCGAGCAAATCCATTTGGGTTCAGCTGGATTTGTGGTTGGAACTTGTCACTCCCCGTGCAAGAATCATCGTTTCTTTTGTGTAATTTTGTGTGCATTTTTGCAAATCCAATGTATTTGTCTACTTCTAGCCATTTTGGAGTTTCAAATTTCTAGGAAATATTATATTCCACGAGTCTTTTTGTTTTATCTTGGGAGGAAGTAATTCAAAACTTTAAAATTAGTGAGTGAGTTATGATTTCTTAAGAACACACAGACAACTTATGATCTCGGATTAATATTCTAGTTCTTCTACATTTCTAATTGATATTTTGAACCCACGATACCAACACGTGACACATTTCTTTCTTTGATTAATATACTAGAGACGTATTGAAAATATCCCTAAACTCGACGCGAAGTATTAGTTTCATTCTCGAATTATTGACAGCCTTAAAAACACTCTTTACTTGTCTAACTGAACTTAAATAGACCCTCCATTTTGCAACATGACAGAAATACATTCCTAAATTCTCACCAAGTTTAGTAGTGTTTTCAACACTTCTCTTAACTTTTTATTAAGAGTTCATTCCCTACAAGAGTTGGAGACCACTTGCTATGTCATGTGGCAGATTGGGGGTGTATCTAAGTTTAGTTAGTCAAGTAGATGAGTGTTTTTAATTCGAGGACGAAACTAATTATAACTTGCGTAAAATTCAGGGGTGTTTTCAATGTCTCTCTCTTAATATATCTTTACCGTGGAACTAAACATTATTTTTTTTAAAAAAAAAGGTGACAAAATAAGCCTATTTATTTTAGTATGTTAGAGGCTGTGATCATCTAATCCAAAAATTATTATACAATATACTTTTATTTACTTAATATTGAATGCACTTTGTAGGGTCGAGGGTTAGAATCGAGTGCAAGAATAGGGACACTAACGATTTGGCATACACAGTTGAAGGTTTTACAAACTCTAAAGGGGAATATAAGATTCTTGTGAATAGTGATCGCCGTGATGAATTTTGCGATGTCGTCCTCATTAGAAGCTCCGATCCTATGTGTGCGGAACCCAACACGGGCCGTGATCGCGCCCGTGTTGTCCTCACTAGCAACAATGGGATGGTCTCTAATACTCGCTTCGCTAATTCCATGGGATTCCTTTCTAATGAGCCTCTTGCTAGTTGCACAAAAATCCTACAGCAATATGAATTTTCAGAAGATCAATTTTAAATTATTATTATTGTTAGACCAATTACTGATTTCTGCCTTTAGCTCAGTAATTTCATTTGGCATTGGACCAATCACATGTATTTATCTAAGAAAGACATTTTATGGGGTGTCCTATTTACTCTATAACATTTAAGGTCTGATTTATATTTATTAAGATTAAAAGATATTTGAATGTTGATTTAAATGATTAAGATATTATTTTTAAACTTGAACATTAAATGATAAAATTGTTTGTATTTTAATATCTGAATATGCACGATTTATTTATTTATAAACATAATAAATATATAATTTGAATAAAAAAATAATTTAATATCATAGAAAATATTAATTTAATAAAATAAAGATGATTGTTTGATTAAAAATAAATAATTATGTTCACTAGTGATGGTGGAGAGATAGTGGTAACTAATGGTTGATGTTAATTAGTGACTTGTAATGATGATGATGACAATTGTAATGGTCAAGGTGGTTGGTATGCGACTGATAATAGTAATGATGATTGTGATAGTGATATTGATTGATACTAATAATTAACGGGCTGAAAAATATATGATGGTTAATAACCACCTCTCAATATTTTGATAAACTAATAAATGGACAGATCAATGATCGGCCCAATTCACGTGCATGCAAAGTGAAGATGAATCATCGACGTAGCTCTCTTATTGTAGAGCTTACATCCAAAATCCTCTTTCACCCTTGGGAAGATCATTATAGCCACTAAATTTTGTACATTTTCCCACCGCCAATTTACACCAATATTAGCATTTCCAGTTAATATACATGCACATATAACTAAAATATAAATATATGTTCCGTGTTACACTCACCAATCACTATATTTCCCTTTTATCTATCTTTGTATGAAAAAATATGGAGGAAGAAGAATTAAGCTATGATGAACTCAAAAAGAGAATGTGGAAGGACCGGATGCGTTTGCACAAGTTCAAGAAGAAGGGAGAGAGTAAATTATTATTAGAAGAAGAAGAAGAGATTGATGAGTTTAAAGCTCAAGAACAATATATATGTAGAAGGAGAAAGATGTCCAAAGCTCAAGATTCTATTCTCAAGTACATGGTAATGTTGCCATATATATTATGCTTTAAGTTATTGTATGCATAATATATGTATAGACATTTAAAACTCAGCCGATCGACAAGTAAACACTTCATTTTTGAATATGCACATCTTAGCTTGTCTTTATTGTGTCAGTTGATATATGCACATATATAGATATTCAAACTTTGCCTCAACTAACAAGTAAACACTCCAACTTTGAGTATGCACATCTAGACGTAGACCTTAGCTTGTCTTCATTGTGTCAGTTGATATGAACACGAACTTACAAAATAATACATGTATAGTTATTCAAACTTTGTCTCGGCTGACAACTAAACACTTCAACTTTGCATATAGATGTACATGTAGACGTACATCTTAATTTATCTCCATTGTGCCAGTTGGACACTCCAACTAATAACAAAATAATACATATATAGGTATTCAAACTTTGCCTCAGTTGACAAGTAAACCCTCCAACTTTGAATATGCACATCTAGACGTACATCTCAGCTTGTCTTCATTGTTCCAGTTGAACACTCCAACTTACAAAATAATTAATGCATCTATAGATATCCAAATTTTGCCTTAGTTGAGAAGTAAACACTCCAACTTTGAATATGTACATTTAGACGTACATCTTAGCTTATCTTCATGGTGTCAGATGAGCACTCCAACTTACAACGTAATACATATATAATATTCAAACTTTGCTTAACTGGAAAGTAACTACTCCAACTTTAAATATGTGCATCTAGACGTATGTCAGTTGAACACTCCAACTTACCATTAATACATATATAGTCATTCAAAGCCTTTTCTTGTTTAATTAACAGGTAAAAATCATGGAGGTTTGCAAGGGTGAAGGCTTTGTGTATGGAATTGTGTCAGAGAAGGGGAAGTTGGTGAGTGGCTGTTCAGATAGTTTGCAACAATGGTGGAAGGAGAAAGTAAGATTTGATCAAAATGCCCCTATTGCCATTGCTAAATCCTTGCCCAAATTAGTAGAGGAGGAGAACATGTTGGATCCTAATTCCTCATTTATGTGTCTTCTTGAAGAATTGCAAGACACTACTTTAAGCTCCATACTTTCAGCTCTAATGCAACATTGTATCCCTCCACAAAGGAGGTTCCCTTTGGAGAGAGGTTCACCCCCACCTTGGTGGCCAACAGGTAGCTACATCATAACTCTCTACCTGTTTCAATTTATATGTCTTACTTTAACTCAACATCACGGAATTGATGTTTTCAATCTTGTGAGATCTTAAACTAATTAAAGTTATATATAATGAATCAAAAGATAATCAGATCTCGTGGTCTTAAACATGTAGAATGCGTTGGAATTAAAGAGTTACAAAATATAAAAAGTGACATTTTTTTTTCCGAAACAGATTAATCAAGAAAAGCAAGACACATGCAAATTGAAACAAAGGGAGTATATATTTAGACATGTTAAATTTCTTGAAAAAAGTAATTACTCCTTCCTTCTCAATTTACGTATGCACTTTGACTGAGCACAAAGTTTAAGAATGAAATAACAACTTTCGAAACTAGTTCTCTAAAGCAATTATAGGTATCTATGTCGTTATAAATCATCTTATGAAAAGTAAAATAGAAAGTATAAAGTTGAATTTTTTTCTAAATATAGAGACAAAACTAAAAATTAAAGTAAAATGTGTTACATAAATTGGGATAAAAGAGTACTATATAGATATTAGTTTTACACTCATAATTTTGAAATATTCATAATATTATTAATCAACTCATGAAGTTTAAATTTTGAATCGTTTGTTGTGACAGGGAATGAACTTTGGTGGGGTGATCAAGGGTTGTCCCAAGAACAAGGTCCACCACCTTATAGGAAACCCCATGGTTTGAAAAAAGCATGGAAAGTAAGTGTTTTGGCTGCAATTGTCAAACACATGTCTCCTGATTTAGGCAGGATGAGGAGATTGGTGAATCAATCCAAGAACTTACAAAACAAGATGACAGCCAAAGAAACATCTACTTGGTCTAAAGTTGTTAACCAAGAAGAAGTCCTTCTCAAGTTGACTAGGTCTCTCAAGATTTCAACATCCAAAGAAGAAGAAAATAAGGATAAAGAAGATCAATTAGATCTTGCTTTTGTTCCCCAAATGTTGAGAAAAAATGACAAGAGGAAGTCCATTATCTTTGATCATGATGTTAACATGGAAGATGTATTGTATGCATGCCAAAACATGAATTGTCCACAAAGTCAATTAGGGTTGGGATTTGAGGACAAGAATTCAAGAATTGAACATGAGTCAAGTTGCTCTTATGGTAAAATTAAAAGTGATCAAAATAATCAAGAAAGTGCCTATGACAACTTTTCTGGCTTGATTGGAGAAATAAAAAAGCCACAAGAAGCAATGGAAATCACTATCCAACAAGATTTTGAAAACTATCATGCACAAAAATTAGTTCATGGAGTGGTGGAAAATTTTGGAAACTTTTGGGATGATGATGCAACAACTAATGAGAACATGAACTCATCACAAGATGTTCTAAATCGTGAAGTTGCAATTTCTATTTGGGATTTGGATTGTGATGATAGCTATATAGATCATGTTATCTAATTTGGTTGTGTTCCTAGGTTAATTATCAATCTTTATTTCTTTTTCGAGAAATAAAGTAATGTTCATAAATAAAATTAATGTGTGATATTTTTCGTTTTTCCTTGTTCACATTATTATTCTTTTATTTTGATTACATGATTACTGATTAGCTCGTTTAAAGGTCGTAGCAAAAGAAGAATTCCTCTGCAAGATGTGTGAACACCTTATTATATTCTTAGAAAAAATAAATGAAAAGCGTTCACTTTTCTTACCTAAAATAACATATTTAAATGTAATAAGAGTATACATAGGATGTTGGGTATGTAGCAAGAGTAATGGGAAATGGAGGGAAGATGAAAAGAGAGGAACTTGAAAAGTAGGGAACTTGAAGAGTTGAGATCTTGAAAAGTCCTCTTATGCTTTATTGAAAAGGCATTTGTCCCTCATCGGTGGTGGAAAGAAAAATAGGAGAGTTTAAATATAGAAACACTCCTATTAATTGTTAAAAGGGTTGGAAAGAGGGATCCCCCTCGCGCCGTCACTCGCTCGGCTTCGGCTTTGGAAATCGATCGAGAGATTATTTTTGGACAAAGTTTGTTTTAATTATTTTAGTTAATTATTTATTAAATTAAATGACCAACGTTTTAATTAGTTAATTAATCGAAGCGTTTCAATTAATTAGTTAACTTGACCCGATTCGACTCGGATCCACGCGCGACCCATTTTATTTAAATCTTTCCTGTTTTATTTGAATTTCCCGCTGTTGGAAGTGACTGTTTTGAAAGGTTGCAACTTTCAGAAACAGCTATGACCATTTGAAAGGTTGCAAACTTTCATGAATGGTCATGTGGATTCTGAAAGGATTGCAACCTTTCGGAACCAGTTTCTCTTGCCTATAAATACATTGATTCCTCAGACCTATTCCTTACAAATTTTCTGATTTCTTTTTCTTCTTCTGCACAAAATTTCTTCGTGTACTTTACTGTTGTTCAGTGGTTCGCTGACACCAGAGTTTTGGGTATCAATACACTGGTGATTGAGATCATTCTATCCTGGGAGGACATATTCCAAATCAAACCTCGGATACTAGAGGGGAATAATTTCCTTAAGGGGACACTGTGCATTCAGTGGGCTTGATCTTTTTCTGATTCTATTTTTTCCAGATTGTGGTACGTTTTTACAGATTTTAGTTTTGTCAATTAATTTATGTTCATCTATTCTTACTGGTTTATTAAACTTTGGTTACTTCGTATTTCTGCAAAGTTTATTGAAATCAGTAATTCTGATTTTTAAACACAGATTGCTAACAATCTTAAGGAAATTATTTTATACTTTTTAATCTATGTTTCTGGTGGAGAGAAAAACCTTCGTGGAATTATACTCATGTTAAGTTTGCAAGTTAAGTTATTGCTTACTGAGTCATTTGTATCAATTTCTGTTTGTTACAGATTCTAAAATGGCTAATGACAATGTTACGGTGGTTGTTGTTGCACCAACCCGAACAGTTGTACCACCAACAAAGAAACCAGGAAAATTCTCTGGTGTGAATTTCAAAGGATGGCAGCAATGGGTATTTTTCTGGCTTACCACTCTTGGTCTGCATAAATTTACCAATGAAGTAACTCTAATGCTTGTTGCTGAAATGCCAAACAGAGAAAAATTCATGATTATTGAAGCATGGAAACATGCATACTTCCTATGTAAGGGCTACATTTTAAGTGCTTTAGAGAATGACTTATATAATGTCTATAGTGCAATGACAACTTCGAAAGAATTATGGGATGCACTTGAGAAGAAATATAAGACAGAAGATGCATGCTTGAAAAAGTTTGTGATCGCAAAGTTTTTAGACTATAAAATGTCAGAAAGTAAAAATGTAGGATCACAAGTGCAGGAACTTCAACTTATTTTCCATGATCTGATTGCTGAAGATATGGTAGTAAATGAAGCGTTTCAAGTGGCTGCAATGATCGAGAAGTTACCTCCTTCGTGGATCGACTTCAAGAATTATTTAAAGCACAAACGTAAGAAAATGAAGCTTGAAGATCTTGTGATTCGGCTCAAGATTGAGAAAGATAACAAAAGCACCGAAAAGAAGTCTCGTAAGAGTTCGACAGTAATTAGAGTTAATATTGTTGAAGAAGCTCCTACCAAAGACAAGAAGAAAAAGAAGTCCAACGGACAGAAGTCAGAACAGGCCAAGAAAAAGTTCAAAGGCAACTGTTACAATTGTGGTAAGGCTGGTCATAAGTCTTCTGGCTGTCGTGCTCCAAGAAAGGACAAAGACAAAGACAAAGACAAAGGCAAAGACAAAAGCCAAGCAAACATCGTGGAAGAGATGGAAGATGTAGATGACCTTTTTGCAATGATCTCGGAGTGCAACTTAGTTGGAAATCCTAAGGAGTGGTTTCTCGACTTAGGTGCCACTCAACATATTTGCTATGCGAAAGAAGCATTTGCAACATACACTCCTGCTGAGGTTGATGAAGATTTGTTCATGGGAAACACAACAACAACAAGGATTGCAGGAACTACGAAAGTAATGTTGAAGATGACATCCGACAAGGTGTTGATCTGAACAACGTTCTGCACGTTCCTACTATTAGGAATAATTTAGTTTCTGTTGCACTGCTCTTTAAAAACGAGTTTAAGTGTGTCCTAGTTAGTGACAAACTGTAATAAGTAAGAATGGGATGTTCTTAGGAAAAGGCTACCTCACTGAGGGCCTCTTCAAACTGAATGTAATGGTTGTTGACAGTATTAATAAGAATTCTGCTTCTGTTTACTTATTGGAGTCAAATGATTTATGGCATGCCCGTTTGGGACATGTAAATTACAAAGCCTTGTGAAAATTGGTTACTTTAGAAGTATTGCCTGATTTTAAATGCGATAAATCGAAATGCGAAATTTGTGTGGAAAGTAAGTTTGTTAAACATCCTTATAAGTTTGTTGAAAGAAATTCAAAACCTTTAGACTTAATTCACACAGATATATGCGATATGAAGTCGACACCATCTCGTGGTGAGAAAAATATTTTATAACTTGTATTGACGATTGCACTCGATTTTGTTATGTATATTTGCTTAATAGTAAGGATGAAGCAATTGATGCATTTAAGCAATACAAAAATGAAGTGGAAAATCAATTGAATCTAAAGATAAAAATTATTCGAAGTGATAGGGGTGGAGAATACGAATCTCATTTTGCTGAGATATGTTTGGAATATGGTATTATCCATCAAACTACTGCACCCTATACACCGCAGTCAAATGGTTTGGTTGAACGGAAGAACAAGACATTAAAGGAAATAATGAATGACTTGATAATCAGTTCTGGTTCACCAAGAAATCTATGGGGAGAAGCCATCCTTACGGATAACAAGATACTCAATAGGGTACTCCGTAGCAAAACACAATCGATTCCATATGAGTTATGGAAAGGAATGAAATCCAACTTGAAATATTTTAAAGTGTGGGGTTGTCTTGCCAAGGTAGAAGTTCCTTTACCCAAGATGGTGAAAATTGGACCCAAAACAGTGGATTGTGTATTTATTGTATATGCTGTGAACAGTAAGGCCTGCCGGTTTTTGGTTCACATGCATTTGTCCCTCATCAGTGGTGGAAAGAAAAATAGGAGAGTTTAAATATAGAAACACTCCTATTAATTGTTAAAAGGGTTGGAAAGAGGGACCCCCCTCGCGCCGTCATCATCGTCGCTCGCTCGGCTAGGCTTCGGCTTTGGCTTTCGCTTTGGAAAATGATCGATCGAGAGATTATTTTTGGACAAAGTTTATTTTAATTATTTTAGTTAATTATTTATTTAAATAAACTAAACTAAATTAAATGGCCAATGTTTTAATTAGTTAATTAATCGAAGTGACTGTTCCACGCGCGACCCATTTTATTTGAATTTTCCGCCGTTGAAAGTGACTGTTCTGAAATGGTGCAACTTTCAGAAACAGTCATGACCATTTGGAAGGTTGCAAACTTTCATGAATGGTCGTGTGGATTCTGAAAGGATTAAAACCTTTCGGAACCAGTTCCTCTTTCCTATAAATACATTGATTCCTCAGACTTATTCCTTACGAATTTTCTGATTTCTTCTTCTTCTTCTGCACAAAATTTCTTCGTGTACTTTACTGTTGTTCAGTGGTTCGCTGACACCAGAGATTTGGGTATCAATACACTGGTGATTGAGATCATTCTATCCTGGGAGGACATATTCCAAATCAAACCTCGGATACTAGAAGGGAATAATTTCCTTAAGGGGACACTGTGCATTCAGTGGGCTTGATCTTTTTCTGATTCTATTTTTTCCAGATTGTGGTACGTTTTTACAGATTTTAATTTTGTCAATTAATTTATGTTCATCTATTCTTACTGGTTTATTAAACTTTGGTTACTTCGTGTTTCTGCAAAGTTTATTGAAATCAGTAATTCTGGTTTTTTTAAACATAGATTGCTAACAATCTTAAAAAAATTATTTTATACTTTTTAATCTGTGTTTCTGGTGGAGAGAAAAGGCTTCGTGGTTTATGCTCCTGTAAAGTTTGCAAGTTAAGTTATTGCTTACTAGTCATTTGTATCAATTTCTGTTTGTTACAGATTCTAAAATGGCTAATTACAATGTTACGGTGGCTGTTGATGCACCAACCCGAACTGTTGTACCACCAGCAGAGAAATCGGGAAAATTCTCTAGTTTGAATTTCAAAGGATGGCAGCAACGAGTATTTATCTGGCTTACCACTCTTGGTCTGCAGAAATTTACCAATGAAGTAACTGTTTTATTAAAAAATAATATTTTAGACTGGTTTAGAGTCGCCACATAATTTTAAAGCAAAATTAAGAAAACAGTTGTTTTCAAAAGACTAAAACAGAAATCTAGTGAAAACTTTAAAAAGGGTTCGAGGTTCTTATTAACATTCTAGGAAGGTTTTAAAAGCACCTAGAATGTCCACTAATGTGGTTATTCGACAATTAATTATTTGGCTAAAATAATTTTAACTTAACTCGACTTGCAAA